GTCGATTTTCAGAAAATATGGGAAAATATGGGAAGTGGGGGGGAAGACAAAAACCCAGAAAATATGGAAACATATCGGGAATATTTTTATTTGTGTATATTTACTTGTGTATCCCAGGGCCCCTTCATATCAGGGCGTGTCCGCCGAGCCTGGGCCAACACGGTGCCTGGCCAAGATGGGTGTATGCAGTTGCACAGTGCGTTGTTGGTGGTTGTCGTCCGCGGCGTCGTCCTCCTCCCTCCCTCTCTGCCTCCCGCTCCTCTCGGTGCTCGTCAGGGCATGTGTCGGCCGCTAGCCCAACGTGTGTTTGCCCCGCTCAGCTCCACCGTTTGAACGCAGCCTGCGTCTGCCCTCGTCGCAACGCCTGCGTTGTATGGAAGGGCTGCGGTGGACGGCCACGTGATGGCACGAGCGTGCTCTGAGAACCATCGGCAGTCGCCGGTATATACACTCTACACCGCGACGCCCAGCCCGTCCTCCAATCTCGTCGTCCTGGGGAGGCCGTTTCGCTCGTGCTCTCAGGGCCTCGCGCTGAGTACATCGAGTTTTGTCAGAGGCAGCCTGAAGTCGGACATGTCCCTCCACAGGACGAATTCTCAAAAAAACGTAAGTCTGGGGACAATGTTTTGTCTATGTTTGCAGTTGTTGTTGAGCATTTGTTGACTGTTTTTGATTTGCCGTCCAAAAAGTCCACCTGTAGGAGGACATGCCCGACCTGAATGTAGCCCTGCCGGGAACCGGTGTTTGCAGGCATGAAGCCGCGGCCCCCGCGCAGGCTGCTCCATAGCCCTCCGCCCTCCACGCCGGAGTGGTCGCCAGGACTGCGCCGCAGGGCCTCTCCGCGGTCGCCATGCGCCTCGGGCGGCGGTTCGGGACGGCTCCGGCATCTCCAGAGCGTCCGTGCCGAGGCGCAGCGGATGCGAGCCGTCCTTCGGAGCGTGAATTACCTACCCCGCTTTCGCTTCCAGGCAAAACCAAGTCATACCACGCGCCTCCTCGTCAAGCGGCCTGACCAGCGCAGGCCGTAGTTTGACGTCGCTTGGTATCTCTTGGAAGCGAGGGTGGTCAAAAGCGAGGTAGGTTTGTTTGCGCCCTAGTCCTGGGGACCCATCAGAGTCGAGTCAACGTCTCCGAGGACCCTCCGGGGGGGGCCCGCGTCGGAGCAGGGCGGGCCCGCGCGGGCGCTCGGGATCATCCTTCGGAGGGCACTCGGGTGCAGGAGTGCATGACCCGGCGTGGACGACAGAGCGAGGGAAGACGAAAACAAGAAACACTGTTGAGGTCGAGCCCTGTCTCGGACCATTTATCACCATCATGCCGTGGAACATGCCTCGTGCTTGTGGCCTGGGCCCGTCGCGGCCAGGCAAAAGCCCCTCCGCTCCTCCGTCTGCGCCCCTTCCGGCAGCACGATGGGCCTGCATGTCGGCTGCGAGCCCAGGGGGGAAGCGTACCCCGAGATCCGAGGACCTGAATTACAAGCCGGCGGTGTTTCCTGGACTTCGACCTTCGGGGCCCGGTTACCAGGCCCGGGGGCCATGCGGAACAAAACCACCCCCCGGGGATGGGGTCGGGACCTCTGGTCTGGGGCCGCGGATTGAAAATGAATCATGTCGGCGGATGTCTGGGCAAAGTGCGCTACTGACCAACCCTCGGCGGCGAGCCCGGGGGGAGTGAGAATGGGCGGGCCTTCTCAGAGAGCTCGGAGGTCTCCCAGCCGAGAAGTCCTCCGTGCCTTCCCCGAAGACGCAGGGCACTCCTCTGAATTCCTGCGGGGCTTTGAGAAGCCCTGCCACCTTCTGAGAAGGGTTTTTCCCTCTCACTCCCCCCCCCCTCGCTCGCAGCCGGCTTTGGTTTTTGGGTCATAATTCGGGTCTCCGGCGACTGTTCGCGACGATCCGTGCACTCCCCGAACGCCCGCAGCGAGGCGCAGCCGTTGGCAAGCATCCCGAGCTTGGATAATTGCCGAGAGCCGACGAAAAAACAGCCGAAAACCTTGAACCTCAAACCTCGAACCCGAAGCTTCCCCCCCGAACGCTCGCCGCCGATAATCGGAGCGCGAGTTACCTCCCCCGCTTTCGCTTCCAGGCAAAACCAAGTCATACCACGCGCCTCCTCGTCAAGCGGCCTGACCAGTACAGGCCGCAATTTGGTATCGTTTGGTATCTCTTGGAAGCGAGGGTGGTCAAAAGCGAGGTAGGTTTGTTCTCCCCCTAGATAATGATGCGTTCCTTCCAGTAGCACGATTCCTGTGTGCCTCAGCGGCACCGTGACGGGTACTCAGTAATGGGTATTTTGGAAAGTTGCCGAACGTTGCCACTTTAGGGCATCTTTCCTGCATTCCGGCGTTGCCCATATCGCGGAGGGTTGGGTTCGCTGGGTCACTGGCCAAAGTACCCGTCAGTCAGTGGAGTCCCTGTTAGAGGGGCGCTGATGCCCCCCCTCCCTCGGGCCCCCCGCGGCCTGTGTGCCCTTCGGAGGAAGGAGAAGTCCAAGAAACGACACCAACACCACCAGGGGGCCATCTCCAGCGAGGAGGTCCACGATGCCCCCCTGAGCTGGAGGCTGGGGATGTCTCGAGCGAGAGGGGGGGGCCACACCACCAGGGAGACCCCCCCCTGCTCCTCGCATGTCTGCCAGGAGGGTGCTCGAACGGGCGACGCAGTGCGTCCGAATTTTGCCCCCTCGAGCTCACGTAAGTCGATCGTCGAAGATTAATCCTGAATCGAATCTGGACTGTAATCCGGAGGAGGAGGAGGAGGTGGAGGTGGAGGAGGAGGAGGAGGAGCAGGAGGAGGAGGAGGAGGTTTGTCTTGTTTGGCTTTGCTACCTGCCCCATCTGGTTGATGTTGTGCCCTGCCCGCCGTGCTCGACGGCCAGGCCCCCGCGCAGGCAGCACGGCGGCTGCATCCGCCTTCGCGTGTGGCTCCTGGAGCTAGCCAGCATGAAGTCGGGCGTAACCCTCTGCAGGAGGACTGTTTGAGAACAGTAACAAATACTCAGGGGACGATGTTTGGACTATTTTCATTCTTTGCCCCAAATCCTAGGAGGACAGGGCCGACCTAAAGCAAGCAAGTCGAAGTCGGGGCGTACAAGTAGTACCCCCTCCCCAGGTTCTGCGATGTAGCAGAGGATCTGACATCGAACTGAATGGGTGAGAGCGAACGGGCGCGAGCCTCGCCCTGCTGGCGCTGGTGTCGCCTTCCCTTGTCCCTATCCCTCGGGCCCTTCTGCGGCCGAGGGGAGGCCCCGCTCCCGGCGGCGCCGCGGCTTCTGCCGCCGCCCCCCGCGCCCGCGGCCGCCGCGCCCGCGGCCGCCGCGCCGGCCCCTGCGCCCGCGGCGCTGGCGGAGCCGGCGGCGTCGAGGCGAGCCGCGGTCGGGGACTCGAGGGACGGGGGTCGATGCAAACGGGGGTCAGCCAGGGCACCGGGTCCTGCGAGGATCCCCTCTGGCCTCTGGCTGACCCGGGTTAGCGAGCCGCTCGTGGCCGCGGGGCGGCCGCGCAGATTGGCTGACCCGGGTGTGCGAAGACCTGCGTGGCAGTTGTTTTTTCTCCTGCATTGCATTCTTGTTTGTCTCCTGCTGACCCGGGTCTGGATTTACCTGGGGCAGAAGACCCCCGACGCGGCCGCTTCGGGGAAGCGTGCAGCGCACGATTCTCCCCAGACATGTTCGCGTCGCGCAAAAGATCAGGACGGGAGGTTTTTGGCCGTTCTCGGCCGCGGGGGGCCCTCGCCGGGCGTCGGGACCGTCAACAAACGACCCAGGAGGAAAAACCGGTCCCGGGGAAGTGGTCCAGACCGCTGGCGTCGGGGGTGTGGGTACTCTCGGGATCTCGCAAGGTGTGTGTGTGTGTGTGCCCCAGGGGTGGTGTGAGTTCGACCGGCTTTTGTTGCACCGAGCCGCCCAGAACAGTTGCCTCCCATCAGACCTGGCAGTTTCCCACAGTTGCCGATGGGTGGGGCATGCGGGGGGCATCTGCTTGCGGCAGTTCGGTGCACCAGCGGATCGAACTCAAGCCCCCCCTCAGGGTCTCCCCCCTTTGGTGGCTCCCGATACTCGACTACACGTAAGAGTGACCCTTCGCCAGAGTGACCTTCTGGTGCGGGCTCGCTGGGGCCCCCCGGTCGCTGAACTCGAAGCGGTGGCAGCAGCTTGCGCGCATGGGTTTGGTCCCCCCGCGGCCCCCTTGTTCTATGAGTCATCCCTCGCCTTCCCCTTCGCCTTTCATATATCCTCCTCCGTCTCCCTGGTTGATGATCAAATTCCTGATTATAGGAGTCATCCCTCCTCTTCCCTTTCGCCTTTACTATCCCCGTGCTTCTCATCAGAACGGTGGTTGCTAAAGTGTGCCAGCGTATCCATTTTTGATCAAGTGCTGGATCCTGTGCAGTGTCCGTCTTTGTTCGCCGCACGCGGCGATCACATCTGCTGTGCTGACATGCTTGGCGGCGCTGCGTGTGGATGAAGGGGCCGCATCGTGCGAAGCTCGTGCGGAGCAACGGCCTGGTGCTCGACGGCGACGTGCTGATCAAGACGGACGGCGAGGGCTGGGACACGGCGGCCCTGCTGGGCGTCGGCGTCGCGGCACGCTTTCAGGTCTCCGTGCAGGTCCTGGACTGGGGCCAGCACGGCCTGCTCCCCTTCCAGCCGCCGTGCGTCGTGGGGGTGGCACCCCGCAGCGCCGACCTGGCCGTCCAGGACATCGAGGAGACGGCCGGAGCGTTCCTCGTCTACTACAGCGAGGAGTGCTGGAGGTCGGACAGGGACGTGGTAGAAAGGGGTGTGGCGCCAATCGCGGAAATCGCGACGTTATCTACGACAGGTAACCTCGCCAGATCCAGCATTTGCACCACACCCCTTTCCACCACACCCCTTTCCTACCCCCAGAGGAGTGCAAGATCACGGGGGTCGCCGGCGCCATCAGCGACACGCACGTGGTGCTGCCGGGCGGGGGCCACTCCGCGCAGGAGCTGCAGGCCGCCTGGGAGCGCGGCCTGGACATGGTGTACGAGGACCGGACCCTCTCCTTCGGGCACTGCGGGCACCCGCACCTCAAGGCCCCCTTCCGCCTGGACCCGCTGGACTACCTCCCGTGCATCAGCATCGGGAAGGAGGGCGTCAAGATCCGCGTCTCGGTGGACGCGCCCGAGAGGAAGCGGAAGCTGGCCGACGCCGACGATGGCGCCGCGGCGCTGAAGATCGCCAGGACGCTCTGGTCGGACCGCGCCTTCTCCGATGCCGTGGTGGTGAGCCCACCGAGGTCGATCGCGGTCCACCGCTGCGTGCTCGCGGCGGCGTCCCCGTTCTTCGCGAGGGCGTTCCAGGGCTGCATGCGGGAGTCCAGCGAGGCCAGGGTGGTCATTCGGAGGAGAAGCAGCACCTGCACACACAACCTCTTGCAGCTCCGCGGGGATCTCCTGGAGCGGCGCCGGAGAGGGGGGCCCAGCGCCGATCCAGGACCTCCCCGCGCAGCTCCGAGGGTCTGCGCCGCTGCAGTGCTTCGCTCCTCTGCTCATCGAGGACGCCGATGCGGATGCCGTGGAGGCGCTGGTGCGCTACCTGTACACGGGCGCGGTCGACAGCCGGGTGGATCCCGCCGCGCTGCTCTCGCTGGCGCACCGCTTCGAGGTGCACGGGCTGCTGCGCCTGTGCGCCGCCGCCATCGTGTGGGACCTGGCGGAGGACAACGTCGCTCGCAGCGTCGCGGCCCTCCGCCCCTTCAAGGACGAGGCGCCCATCTCGGAGCAGGGCGAGCCGAGACAGCGGCAGTCGGCCTTCGGGGGGGCCCCTCGCCGCAGCGGCTGGACGCGGCTCGGAGAGCTGGAGCGGTTGGACCCAGGAAGGCCGCCGCGATCGATGTCGTGCTGCCTGTCGTCATCTCAGCTCGCCCTGCTCCGACGATCGAAGAGTACTGGAACGCTCTCGTCGACAGGCTCGCCGAGGACAGGCAGCTGCTGCAGGCGCAGCTCGCCGGCTAGGGGGCGTGCCCGCTGCCTGCGGGGTGGGGGCGTGCGGCCGCGCTGAGGCCTCCCCGGCCTGCCGCAGCCAGCGCAGGCTCGTGGGACAGGTCGCCGAGCCTCGCGGTTGCAAAAAGCCGTGGGATAGGTCATCGGAGGCCCCGAGGTCGTGGAAGTCGATTCATGGAGGGGAAGCATGCTGTCAAATAGTTTCCAGATGTCTACCAGATGTTCCAAATATGGTTTGAATGTGTTTCAAACATGTTCGACACATGCTTAGAACATGCTTTACACATTTAAACGCATCATTGATTCAACGATAGGATTGTTAGAGTGTCCATTGTCATGGCATCCACAAGCCTAGAAGTTGACACCAACACCAAGATCGGCGGTGCACCTTCACCGAGGGAAGATCATCCCGATCTCGGTGATGGTGGTCATATTCGGGCTCTCTAGGTGGCCGAAAGATTACCACCACCACCGGAATCTAGGATCATCCTCCCCCGGTGGACACCCCTCTGTTTTCGTGTTGGTGCCCTTTTCCAAGCCTGGAAGGTCAGGCAGGCTTGCACCTCTTGATCGGGGAAACGTAAGACTCGAGCACGCCGGAACCTGGGTTCGCCGACGTTTCTTGGTGGGCCCGCCCCAGATTTGGACGGTCCTGTCGTCGTGGGATGCCTTCAGCGCGAGGTCGGGTCAAGTTTCAGAGTGGGTCTCGCCAGTTTCCCAACGGCACCGTCAGGCCGGCCCGAGTCCCCCGAACACGAGCCAGCTACGTCTCCTTGATTTTCGTGCACAGGCATGCTTCAAGCATGTAAGGTATTTCCACGCGCGCGCGCCATGGTTCAACGGTGGCAGCGAGCGACCATATTCTCTTTTCGTCCGCGCCGTTGGGCGCATTAGGAGCGGTAGCAGGCCATGCATTCAATAATCACACGTGTTGTTGGGCGCGCGCGCGCGCGCGCCGGACACCATTTTCCTTGGTCTTACGACCTAGTGTTTGAGAATTCCGATACATCAGCAGTACAAGTCCCATGTGTAAATTCTAGACGACATCTTGTCAGACTGCACGTGCCCGAGCTTCCCAGGATGTCCCCTGCCGTCAGCTTCCCGCACAGCCCCGCGGCTGCTTTGTGAGTGGGCCGGCCGGCTAGCGGCGCGTCTTGTAGCTAATTAGGCTTGCCCGTCGGCCCGGACACCCTGTTCGCCGCGTGCGCTCTTCGCTCGCGGCCGCGACCGAAAAAGTATCCCCACCAGCAGAGCGTTGGCTAATCTTGCATGTGCGCGCCCCTGGACCTGGTCCCTGGCAGCTGCAGCTTGCATCCCCCTCACGCTGGCCCGCCCGCCGAGGCGCTGCTGAGGTCGCTGGCCCGTCGGCGTTAGGCAATTCGGCTTTTGCGCGGCCCGCTCGGACCTGTCTCGCCGCTGGCGCCCTCGCCTGCGGTCGCGACAAAAAGTATCCCGACCAGCCCATCCAGAAACGATGTCCAGGCGAGTGAGAGGTGATCAGAGAAACGCGGGAACAAAGAGGGGGACGGCCGAACCGTGTGAAGGAGAGAGGGGGCGAAGGAGAAAATTGGATGGATGGATGAGGGGGTAGGGAAGCCTCTTGGGGTATCTCTTGGGCGTCTTGGGACGTATTGGGGGTCTCTTGGCGGTCGTAGGGGGCTCTTCGGCGTCTTGGGTGCCTCGGGGGGGCGGCCTCTTGGGGCCGCTTGGGGTCCTTTGGGGGGCCTCTTGGGGGCCTCTTGGGGCCATCTTGGGGCCTCCTGGGCGCTTCTTGGGGCCATCTTGGAGGACATCGGTTAACGAAGGGGGTCCTCAATTACGGCCCCCCCCCAGGAGGCCAAAATGGGGCCAAAACCTACGTAAAACCAATGATGTGTGTTTCCTCGCCGAGGACGTCTTGGACGCTCTGACTACCCGCGGCCCCCCCCGTCTAGGTCCATGGGTCGGGGGTAGGGGGAGGGGTAAACCCCTCCCCGAAGGGGAAGAAGGAGGGGTGGAAGAGGAAACGCCCTAAACCACCGAATTATGCCCGGAGGGCTGGTGGGATTAGCTGGGCGAAAAGCACAACCATCTGCAGCTGTGGGCACCGTCGCTGTATGCACCGCATTCGGTGGAGTTCCCTATGAAACGACCAAACGTGTGAAGGTGCGTGCCGAAATCGGTGCGGTGTTTGCATGCGAACGCTGGCATGTGGGCCTTCGGTGGGGCTTCCTATGGGGCCACGAAGCGTTTGAGGGGCGTGCCAAAGTGGGTGCGGTGGGCGCATGCGAACGTTGACATTTGGGCATTCGGTGGTGCTCCCCATGGGGCCACGAAACGTGTGAGGGGCGTGCCACAACGGGCGAGCCCAGGGGGGAAACCAGAAGGAGAAGGCCTTCTCACAAGGCGGCGGGACTTCCCAGAAAGCCCGCCGTCCTTCTGAGAAACTCTGCGTCTGCGGGGAATGTTCTGAAAACTTCTCGGAAAGCTGGGGGACTTCCGAACCTGCTGAGAAGGCCCGCCCCTTCTGACTTCCCCCTGGGCTCGCGGCGCCGGAAGGACGGACAGAAGAACAACATCTGCATGAACGTCAATTGTTGGCGATCCGCGCTGGGATCTTGGATCCGCGCGACCTCCGAGATTGTATACTCATGTTGACCAGCGTGGATCCCAAGCAGTGAGCTCCTGCATCTATGCGCAACGGGGGCTCCCAAGCGCTGTGGTGCCATCGCACTTCGCTTGGCCTCTGCCCACAACGGAGGACTGCCCGCTCTGGTGCCAGAGATATTGGTACCTCCTCCACCTCCTCATCGAGCTCCCCCCTTGCCAAGAACGCGGGCGGTGCACGGTTTCCCCCGGGGCCGTAGGCGACCCGAAGAGGAGGAGGAGGAGGAGGAGGAGGAGGAGGAGGAGGAGGAGGAGGAGGGGGAGGGGGAGGAGGAGGAGGAGGAGAAGTAGATGGAGGAGGGGGAGGGGGCGGGGAGGGGATGGAGGAGGAAGAGGAGGAAGAGGAGGAGGAGGAGGAAGAAGGAAAAGGAGGAGGAGGAGGAGGAGAAGGAGGACCAGTCGCCTAAGTCATTCGGAGAAGCCTCCATTTTGGCATACCTTTTTACACGTTCCGTGGACCCACAAGGAGCCCAACCGAAAACCCAAATGCCAGCACCCACTTTGGCACGCCGCTCACACGTTTCGGGGCCCCGTAAGGAGCCCCACCGCAGGCCCAACTGCCAGCGTTCGCGTGCGCCCACCGCACCCATTTGGGCACGCCCCTCAAAAGTTTTGTCGCCCACAGGGATCCCCACCGAAGGCCCAGATGCCAGCATTCGCATGCACCCATCGCACCCATTTGGGCACACCCCTCTCACGTTTCGGGGCCCCGTATGGGAACCCCACCGAAGGCCCAAATGCCCGCCAACTACTCGCCGAAGAGGAAGGAGGGGAAACGGAAACGTCCTAAACCACCTACGCTTTAAGAAAGTCTGGTTGTTGTTTTTCGCAACGGGCGATGTTGCTGCTTTGTTTCGGGCCACGGGACCTCACGAATCGACCCGGCTCGTAAAATGCCGCGGAAGGATGGGTTCCAGGGCCCCGGCTTGGTTTTTTACAGTGGTGCAGTGGTTCTGTGGCGTCGGATCTCAGGGTGGCTGGAGGCCTCGCGCGGCGCGCAGTAGTGTGTGATCTAATCCGCCCGGCCGCCCCGTCAGAACTGGGACGACGTTCGCGCGGCGATGTTTCGACGTAGGTTTGACGTAAATCCGACGTGAACCCGACGTAAATCCAACGTGAACCCGACCTGAACCAGACGTTGATCCGAGGTGGATTTGACGTACATTGGGTCTCAAGTTGCCGCGCAAGGCCTCCAGGATGTTCTTCATGCGGTTGGCGTTGTAAAAATAGCGTGCGATCTGGCGCCGCCGGCCCGCCAGCTTCACGCTACCCCATCTTTGGGGATAGCCTGCACCGAAGAAGCCCTGGCGGGGGGATGGCGTGCACAGAAGGGGCCCTCGCGTGGGGATCGCCTCACAGGAACGGCGTTGCTTTCCGGAGGTCGATGTTGCGCGCTCTGCCATCTTCCCAACGCCAGTTGCATACGTTGGTCGTTGAGGGCAGGTATTTTTGGATTCAGATCCCAATCTACTTCAAGCGGGCCTGGACCCGGCCTGGACCCAATCTCCTTGATCCGCCTTCCTACTTCCTGTTTTTGCCTGCCTTTTCCGACCCGCGGGTAACCTTGACGGGCCCCCCGCTCCTCCTTTTGCATGGTGGCACAATGCGTTCTGACGGCATTCATCCCTGTTTAGGCATCCCATCGCCAGCGCAGACGTCCCCTGCCTAGCCGCCGACGCAAAAAACGTGTCACCTCGACGGGGCACGGCCGGTGAGAACCCCCGCAGCAAGGCTCGGAAGCCTTGAGACGGGGGCCAATGCAAACGGGGGTCAGCCAGAGCGCCCGATCTTGCAGGATCCAGCAGGGCCAGGGCCGCATTGACCCGGGCTTGGGCGCGCAGGGTCCTGCAGGACCCTTCGGGATCCTTCGCATCGACCCGGGTCTGGGCGCAGGATCTTGCAGGACGCTGCTCGGCCTGACTGACCCGGGCCTGGATTGACCCGGGTCAGAAGCTCCCCTGGGTCACTTTGTGGGTAGTGGAACGCGCTTTCCTACTCTCTCTCTCCCCCCCGCCCCTTGCTCCCCCCGTGTGGCTCGGTCGGGAGGAGGGGGAGGGGGGGGAGGGAGGGGGAGGAGGAGGGGGAGGAGGAGGAGCAGGAGGAGGAGGGGGCGGAGAAGGAGGAGGAGAAGGAGGAGGAGGAGGAGGAGGAGGAGGAGGCCGTCACCGTCCCAGCCGCCGGCCCTTCTCCCGTGGCGGGCTGCCCGGGAAGGCCCGCGCCGCCCAAGCCGCCGGGGCCCGCTGGCAAGGGCAAGGGCAAGGGCAAGGCGGGCCCCTCCCGCCGCTGCCCGGGCGCCCGGCCGAGGTTGTCACCGGCTATCGAAGTGCAAAGGGCCGAGACGCCCTCGGGTCATGCAAGAATCACGACGGGGAGTTTTTGGCTAGTTTCGGCCTTTGGGCTCTTACCGGCCCT